TAAGACAACGTGGCCGAGTGGTCCAAGGCGTATGACTCGAAATCATTTCTCATTTGAGGCGTAGGTTCAAATCCTGCCGCTGTCGTTTTATTTTCGATATGCAAATACATTTTAAATGGAACTTTTAAAATTATCAAAAGTGCATTTGCCGGGACTCGAACCCGGATCTCCACCTTGGAAGGGTGGAATTCTGCCCTTAGACCACAAATGCTTCTTAAAATAAGATAAGTTATACTGTTTATATTATCAAATAAATAATAAAATATAGAAAAACGCCCCGACCTTACTTTTAAATGCCGCACGCTCAACCGACTGAGCTTAAAGGGCACTTGTTATTAATTCCATTGTGTGTTTGGTAACAATATATAATATCGACTGTATTGCATTATAATAATTTGGCGCTGTTTATTTAAAAATACATTAAAACGTTTTTAATCGTATTTAACAATAAAAGTCACATTTTTATTTAAAAAATTGACGAACATATAAAATAATTCGAACTCAATTAAAATATAAATTGTATAAAAAGCGAATAATTAATCATCGTGCATTCATTGATAAACAACGTCTAATATGACGTTGTATTACAAATATGACATTTCGTTATAAAAACTGTTATTGTGTTCAAATTAACCAAACTTTTTGTGCTGATTATTGTTTTCATTGTCTATATTACCTACTGTTGTAAAGTTGACCAAAAACATGAGTATATGTTCTTTAATAAGTTTTTTTTTTCAAATACATAATTTTTATCATTGTTAAAAGTTTAAAATGTTAACATTATTAACATTTGTTTAATGCCTTATATAATATCATAAAACAAATTAATTAATATTTATTATTTTATTTGATAATCGACTTACTCAATACAAGGGAAGATTTTTAAATAATTCGATACTTTGTTTTTAATAACATTATTTTCATGACAACCACTTTTTCTATGACATTATTATTAATTCTTCTACATGTACTCGTTTTTTCTGACGAAAACATGAAAATATCGACAAAGATTGACATATATATAATTCACAATATAATAAATTTTTATTATTTAATGGTTGTTTAAAATATATAATTTATCATTTTTATTCAAATGTCATATTTTATTAAGGAAATATTATTTGTATAAATACCAATTTTAAACTAAAATTTCAAAATGTACTTCATTTATTTTGCACTTATCATAATGTTTCATTCGATTCTCGCTTTATCTCAACAATCAACAGACGTAAACAAATTTTATAGTCAATACACATGCGCAGATAATTTAACAGTTATTAAAGGAAATGGAAAAACACATTATTCATACTGCACTTTTATTGGTATGTTTAATTTTTCAAATCCGAATGAAATGACTCCTTCGATATATTTTGATTCGGTTGGTGAGATCCTTAATTACATTTTACCTGATAATACAACATCAGCGACTTTATACAATTCGACGTTTACTGCGTTACAAGTATCTCATTTGACACTCAACCAGTTCGAAAGTAACAAAACAGACTTATATAACAGTGACTTTTCTGATGTAGTTTTTGAGTTGCTTAAATATGTTAATGCATATAACTATATTAGTACTATTTACACCTCTTCGTTTGACACCATTGCGTTGTGTAATTCTTCTTTTGAAAAAATGAAAATTAGTTCTGTGAAGACGAGTGGATATCGCGATATCTCTTCCATTGAAAAATGTCACTTTTATTCAACAGAAATTCATGAATCAGTTTTTTCTAATTTTACTATTAAAAATAGTTTATTCTATGAACTCACACTTACAGATAATGTCTTGTCGGGATTGGATGTTAAAAACACCAATTTTTATTACCGAGATGATGAAAATGTCCGCTACATCAACTCAACGTTTGTTAATACCTCATTTTACCATTCTTATTACTATGAAAATGTTGTATTTGAGTCGTGCAACTTTGTGAACTGCGTTTTTAACTTGAAAGATGTTAATATGGCGGATATCATCTCATTTGATTTCGCCGACTGCTATTTTGAGAACTTCACTGTCAACGAACAAATAGTCGATTTGTATAAAGGAAATGCCTGTGTCGGGCTTAAAAAGGGGTTTGTGAAAAAATCAAAGGAAATCGAAATTGCTATTGAAGATGATAAAAAGAATACTCAATTTGTTTTACTTTCAACTGGTGTTGCAGTGCTTGGGGTATTGTTCATAATTGCCGTGATACTTATTGGCATACTACTTACACTGTTTATCTTATCACATAGAAAACAACAAAAGAATTACAACAATTTATCTAACACAAGATAATCAAAAATCTAAAGTTTTTATTAGTTAATTGTGATAAATATAATTATAAATTTATTATGATATAAAATAATATTATATTAACAATTAAAATAACTCACTTATTTTTGTTTTGGTTTGTTTTTACTGGAATATTAATCCAAATTTTGATGATTTTCCCTTTTTGGCTTGTGTATTGTTTATGCACATAATTTAATCTCTAAAAAACGGAAATTTATTTAATAAACTCAAGATTTCCTGATTTTAAGACCACTTGAATTTTGTTCAATGTAATTTAAAATGTTAAGGTAACAAAAAAGTAGTTAAGTTTGCAAATTATAGTTAAATATTTTATTTATTATTATAATTTATAAACCATTTTGTATTATTTTAAAAACATGAATTTAAAACCAAAAAATAAAAAATAAAAAACTTGTAAAACCAAAAACTAATAAATATAATTTGGCTTTTGGTTGAAATTTTTTAATTCACTTAAATACAATCTACTTTTCAATTCAAATAATAGAATTTTTGTTGTGATTGTGTTACCTAATAAACAACCAATAATTTCACATATTAAACCAACCATGTAGACAAGCTGATATAAAAAAAAGAATATTTCAACGTGAAATTGAATATATCACTTGAAAATGGATTTTTTGATGAAAACAAACTATGATCGAACCATAAAAAAATATAAGTTTTTTGTGTTTTTGGTGGTTGAAAATGATTATTTATTCATGAAGTTGAATATAAACATGTGGTTAAGTACGTGGCAGAGTCAAAATTCAACAGGTTGGACAAAAACTTGCCAATAAATTCAATGTTTATTTCATTTTTAAAGTTACATTTTAATGAAAAATGTCAAAATTTAAATAAGATATAGTAACATGTTCATAAAAAACGGAAGATTAGAAGACAGGAAATGGTTGTGGTATAATGTGGTATTGTAAACACGTGAATTCAAATTGGTTTTAAATTTATCGATTTTATAATATTATTTTTATAATTAATTTTAATATGGATCGATATTTACAAAAAGACAATCAATTAAAAATTAACATAAATAGACTATAGCAACAATTTTTACTATTTATTGTGTATTAAAAGATCACATTGAATACACAACTTAGTATGTTAACTTTGGTATTGAAAAAAAATACATTGTATGTATGTATAAATGGTATTTTTGTGTATATTGATTACTTTGTAATTTAATATTATTAAATAATTAAATAACTTCCTGTTTATATGTATACAACAATATATAAATATTTGTGTTAATAACTTCTATAAGTTAAGTGTTTATAATTAATAAAATACTTGCAATATATTTTAATAAATGTATATGTTTTGTAACCTTCTTGAAGCAACGTTTTCCCAAAACATAAAGTACATGTTCAAGAAACAATAATACAAATATTAAGTCGTACAATATATTTATGTTGATCATTGATTAAATTTTATATGGTTATTCCAATTAAGTTATTTAATGCTCTCAATTTTTAAAATGTTATTTTGTTTATTTTAAAAGAATAATTTCAATTTTAATGGA